TTTGATAAATAAGAGAAGTAAGGCTCTATTGAGTTCAGATAATTACCAGCTGTTAAAACTCACACTCCTGGTAACCACCACACTATGATTACCATATTGCATGTGGTTAATATTATTAAAAATTAAACAAAATTTTATCTGTGAAATCAGAAGAGATAAAATCATGTGTGTGATTGACAACTCATTTATATAAAATGAACACATTATTATGCATACATAATGTTATGATTAATATATCTACAATATAATTGTATACATCAATATATAATTTTATTGAAGGATTCCTATATGATGTGTCAACATTTACAAAAGTATCAATCAGGTGAAAATTCCTCCAAATGTCAGCATGAATCCTAAGAAAAATTAACAATTAATGCTGCAGTACTAGCCCTCAAACTCAAACCATTGTGAGAGAAAGAAATGTTTATTAATAGTTCTTAGTCAACCCGCCTCATGCATGTATTGAATTTTAATGAATATTGGTTTACTCATTTGCTCTAAATTTAACTGGAACACTACCAAGAGGGGATTAATCTCGGTAATAAGTATGTTTCTCATTTTTCCATAAGACTCAATCATGATGACATTTTTACTTTGTTCCCCATAGAAGTCAAATTTTACTGAAGTGATGGAGTGAGAACAAAGATAGAGAAAGAAACAGAGAGAGATGGGGAGAGAGAGATAGAGAGTGAGAGATGTTACGAACAAGGGTGAGTTTGGATTATTGAAGGGGGCACAACATGGCAACATTGAAGAAAAAAAAGTTTCTGGCAATTATTTCTCTATTGTAGCAGTTTTTTTAGGTTTTATGAAAGTGTCAAATCAAGCACCAAGGAAAATGGTTTACAAATGCAGAACTCTAAAAAAATAAGATAAAAAAGAGATCAAAGACAGCATAAAAAACGTTATGTTTAAAAAGATGGATTGAGATCAACTTTCCATTTCAGTGTTATTTGTAGTCAATTCAAAGGCCACTTTCAACCTTACACAGAAACATGAATTGATTTTAATGGCATCTATGAAAAAAAAACTTTGCCTCAAACACTCTAACGAAAAGATTCCAATGAAGTTGTTATGCCTATAATGTTGTTATCATCACTCTATGCCTCAAAGCTGGACTTGTATATTAAAGGATAGAAAATATTTGAAGAAAGAAAAATCAGGCTAGGACTTAGAACTCTGGAGCAAAAATCCTATATCATCAAGCCCTAACTTTCAGCCAGTCAGCTGTCAGCTTAAAAAGCATACATTTGTGTCATGTTTCTATAGATCACACGTTTAGAGACAAAACTTATAAGTTCACCTGAAAGATACAGGTGTGGAGTTTAATAAATGTGGAAAACAAAGGTTTACTTATATTTGTTTTAAAGACACTGACAAATAGTTATAAACTTTTACAAAAATAGAATTGATCCGGATTCAACCTATATCTGCAGCTTCATAAAAAGTTTATATTGGCTGTTTTTATTCACTGATTCTAAATTTGTTTTTCCTTGTGTATACTTGACCAAATTCTTACGAATTCCAAACTGTTCAGATCAAATAAACATTGAAAAGTAAATAAAAGCATTTCTAGGACTAAAAAGGTGATATGATGGTTTTGCACACCAGCAGAGAAGCCACGAAGAAAATGTATTCTCATCAGACAAAACCCTCTTGCCATTCCACTCTCCATGAGAAACTTACATTCTAAAATTGAAGGCTGCAACCTTCCTTTTGTTGATTTTATGGTATGTATGATAGAAGCTAGCCTAGCTCTTCATAGTCCTGGGTATTAATATACTGAAATACATTTAAGTATAGTACATGACATTCGAATGTGGCCACTTTGGCACAGACACAGTTGATGTTGGGATCCTTTTGTTCCGACCTTGAAAAATTAAGTTTTTACTTTTTTTAAATTGTCATGTCATATACCTAAGAAATATTGTCACTCCATTCCTGAGCTACAAATTCATCACATCCCTGACTCCAGCAGCACTGGGCTCAACGGTGTGGAGAGAATCTTTAAGTATAGTGTGGAGAAATGCTGGCCAAGGGTTAGAGAGGAAAGCAACGGGACAGAAATAGGACATGATTTGAAGACATCATGAAGTTCAGAGATGTGTAGTGCTCATGTGATGTAATTCATAAGAACAGCTTCTTGAATTTTTAAAAATTATTTAGCAAACAATTTTGTTACAGCTGCATCAGAACAGCTGTATCTGTTAGAGATGATCAGAAAACAGATGGTACTCTCAAAAGGTTATTAAAGAAAGTTAAAGGAAGAGGCTTTTCCACATATGTAGGCAGGGTTAAGAGAAGTGACATGGGATCCTGAAACATTCAGGAAGTAGCAGCCATGCAAATCTGTTACCACTCCAGCTCTGAACCCAGAGAATGCAGCTATTGCTGAGCTCTGAACCCATTCAGTGACTAAAAGCTAAGGAAACTGATTTGAAGCTTTAAATAGAGGATGACTTTTAGGAGGAAAGAAGTAGTGGGAAACACTGGAGACTGGATCTGAGATACAAAATAAAAATATCTAGCACAGCTCATCCCTCTTGTTTCTCACTGTTCTTCCTGTCCATCAGTTATCAAATTATAATTAGCTGATGTCAGTGTAATTACAGTCCTACCCAAAACCTACACTGAAGCACTAGCCAACATTATTATTCTTATAAGCTAAAAAGGGAAAAACACACAGAAACAGGCAGGATGAAGGGAAACAGAAATACTTAATAGAAAACATAGATTATCCTTTAGAGGGAACATGTTGGTGCTCTCTTAGTCTGTTTTTGTTTGTTTGCTTAATTGTGTGTTGTTAGATTTGCAGTATCAGATAATGCCAGACTCATGATGGGCAGTTTGGATCTCACAGTCCCTTAATGCTCATCGTCAAGATTCGGTTTTTGTTAGGGCCCAACAGCAAGCATGGAGATGTTTTTCAAACATAGAATAGTTATCTCCTGAAAAACACATGCCTTATTCCAAAGCCCTAGGGGTCCACACTATGATTACCATATTGAGATTTGTCAGAGGTTCTCAGAATATCCATATCTCCCAGAAACTTCCAGTCCCATAAAACTCAATAGCAAGCCAGTTTGCCTGCAGCTTGGACTTGCTATAAAAAGATCTTATACAGATACGTTCTATGCTCTCTCAACAACAGTATAAAAAGTGTATTCTCTTGGCAACTGCAACAGCTTCCATATTCAAGGAAATACATTATCATCAGAAAGAATGTTCTGATTTTTAAAGGAGATTTTCTTGAGTAAGCCCCAAATATGGCTTTTTTCTTCGCTTCCACCCCTATTCCTCTCTGCCCCAACCCTCACTTGCCCTTTTCTTATTATTTTCCCAGCTCCTTCCCACAAGGAAGCACTTAGCTCATTTTTGCTCAGAACGTAGGCAAGCTAAGGTCACCAATATCACTCCTGAAATAGAAGTCTGCTCACTCATTCAAGATAATTACTTCTTTTCCTCTCCTTTCTCAAAGAAGGATGATACATCAAATGAGGCTGAAAGCCTACTTCTCCAGGAAGTGACTTTATTTTAGTATTTTATTTTATATTGTGAAGTTCTATACCACAGAAGCTTCATAAAATACTTTGAGAAACTCTTTGTAGAGTGACAGTTTTAGCTGAGGTTCAATTCACATTAGATTTTCCTATATTAATTAGAGTAATGTGATTGGCAGGGCTAGGATAATACAATGTGTATTTTACGTACTGCAGCTTGGACAAAAATGGTTGGATATGCAATAAGGGGTTATGTTGTGAAAATTTACTTTACCAATTTGAATATTTATCTTATTGTAGGACTCCTGGGAGATTCCAAGTTTAACTCAACATATGTTCTGTAAATTTAAAATTAAATTTGTGTGTATAAATTTGACACAATAGGAGTTAAGCTCAAATGAAGGAAATAAGCATATGGTGGATTTACCACTAATTGAGAGCCTAACGCTATAAGAGATAAGAAGAAGGGTTTGGTGGTTTTAGTTTTGTATTCATGACTATATATATTTGGGCATATTGCTTATGTTTATTATTGGTTGTTATTCTAAAACATAGGTGAATTTTATTTTTTACTACAGTGCATTCAGAGAAGTAACTTCCATCTTAACATTTTAAATCGATTCGTAATACATATGTTTTTCATATATAATTATATGTATAAATGTATTTATTCACATACATACACATACATATTACCACCAACAGATATGTCCTTTTTTCGCTGATAATTTAACCTCACACTTCTGTCTGGTAGGAATCTCTACTCTCAGGGAAGCTATGCCTCTTCTGTTTTTCTGGGGCAGTTGTCCATAACTCATTCTTTTCTGCCAGTGACTTCTCTACATTAAGTTGCATGACATCACTCAAACCAATGAAATGTCAAGGAAGAATGATGGGGCTTTTTAAAAAAATTCTATTAGAAACATAAATACCTGTAAGCAGAAAGCATTATTGTTTTTTCTCCTTCTTTCCTTAAACTTGAACATGATGCTTGGTTGCTTACATTCATCATATGTAGATGAATGAATGTTCAATGTTTATTAGAAAATAAAGGGGGATTTGATCGACTCTGTTTTAGATGTTGCATTCTTCACTTCACCTGGTTATGTGTGCACCTGAAGAAGGTTTAAGCACTGGAAGCAGCTCTACTTCCACAGTGCAAGATGAAAGAAGGCATCTCTTATTAAAAGCCAATCCTCCCTATAAATAGTATCCCTTAATGCCTTCTCAATAATTGTATACTATTGGTTACATGTTTTGTGTCTATATTATCAACAAGACCCTCTCAAACCAATACATGATTACTCACAATCAAGCCTAACCTATTAAAATATAAAACCTATTCATTAAACAGATATCACTCTCTTGCTTCAATGTCATATTTTTCAGTGCAATAATTTATACTCTTTTTTTTCCACCTTGGCTTAGTTTTCTATTGCTGTTGTAACAAATTACCACAATATAATTAATGGCTTAAAACTACACAAGTTTATTACTTACAGTTCTGGTGGTCAGAATTTCAAAATGGGTTTCACTGGGCTATGACTGAGGTCTTGGCAGGATTGTACACTTTCTGAACATTCCAGGGGAGAGTCTGTTTCTCTGGCTTCTGCAGCTTCTAGAGGGTGCCCACATTCCTTGTCTTCTGTTCCCGTCAGGATCTTCAAAATCAGGAACAAAGTATCTTTATTACATCTCCTTGTTTGCTTCATTACATCTCCTTCTCTGACTCTGACTCCTACAAACCTTACTTTTATAAAAACCATATGATTACATTGGGCCAACACACCAGGGTCATCCAGGATAATCCTACTGTCTCACGATCACCAACTCAATCACATCTTCTAAGTATTTGCATTGTGTAAAATAACACATTCACCGATTCCTGAGATTAGGGCTTGGACATCTTCGGTGAGAGACATTATTCAGGACACTACATACCTCCACCAGCTCTTTAGCCTTCTTAGTTTTTGCCACCATCATTTCACTAAAATCATCCTGAATAAATTCACTGTGGGTCTAAATCTCTTAAGTCCAAAAGATAAAAAAGTTTAGTTCTCATATTCTTCCCAGCATTTCAATGGGTTGACAGCTTATTTTAAAAAGAGTTTTACTCTTGAAACATTTCTTTTTTAAGTTTCCTTGACAATATACTCTCATGAGTTTACTGGTCCCACTTCCCTTAGCTTATCTGTACTTACTCATATTTAAAAAAAATCACACATTTACATATGTGATTATAACTCCTAAATATGGTGAGTGCATTTTCTGCTGTTCCTCGCTTTTTCTACCTGTTTGCTCTCAGAAATACAGACACAGACTTTAAGCTACATGATTCATTTGTTGTAAATTAATCATTGAGTAGAATCACTTAGGACTGTGAGCTTTCCAAACTGGGGGAAAAATACATCTTTTTTTTTCTGCTGGATGAAGTGAAAGAGCCCAGAGACAGATATTCTACCATCTTTTGTGCTCACCTCTTCAATTATGACTATCCTCAGGCTTCTTCCTGATTTTATTCTCTAAGACAGCAAGGTTCCACTACATCCGGACAACCTCTGCCAGCTTCACATACAATATAGTCACCACGCAAAGCCTAGTCTCCAAAATAGCTCTTATTGCATACTAGGATTCTGAGAGATCTGTTTACATCCCATCATTTCCCTGGGTTTTACCTTCCAAATCAGGAACGTGTAGAATTCTACTAAGATAAGTGATAATAGTAGAGTTATACAAAGATTTACTCTTTTCTTTGCTCATTTCCCATGATTCCTCAGTGACACTTGGGAAGGAAGATGTGAGCCCTCTCTCAGCGCTTTCTTGTAACCTGCTATCATTTCCATTTCTACTCCACAAATTTAGGGATATGAGGTGACACTTTTCTTCTATTTCTATGGCAAATGGGGATGTTCTTGCTTGCTATGGAAATTGCTTTTGATATTTCAGTGACGATCTAGAAACAGAGAACTGGATATCTCTGTTTAAGCTGCTGCTATTTAAGAAATAACATCACACATTAGGATTTTTTTTATATATGACTTTTGCCACTTAAACAAAATCTGCATATAGAAGGAAATGAGGGGAGTCTCTACAACCAAAAAAATATATCTCTTTATCTTCAGTTTTTAAATGTGACTTACATGTTCTCTTATACCCTGGCATAAGCCACGGTTAAACATTTCCCCTCAAATGTTTCATAAAATGGAATCCAGAGGAGAAGGAAATCTTAGGTCTCACAAATAGACAAATTTATAATATTTATGTGGGAAGCTAAATATAAGTATGCAATTTGAAAACAAAAGGGAAAGAATAAAATATATATTCAAAAAGAGATTCAAGATAAATATACATATATACACATATATTTGAAAAGAAAGTCATAGTATTTTTACAGCAATCTTAGATTTTAGAATGAGTGAAGTGAAATTATTTTTACATAGGTGCTTATTTCCCTCACTTCTGTTTGACCTGGAAGTTACAGAAAAATATGATTTGATTACTTGTGTCTTCCATTCCTTTTCCTCAATGCACACCGTGGCTTTGAAGCTTATTACACAGAAGGATAATGGATATCAAAGAAAAAGAAGAAATAGCACACCTTTGCTATTTAAAATAAAGTTGCTTCGTGCTGGAAACTGGAATTTCCATTCTAAGAAAGTTTAATCCAACTATGAATAGCTCAGTATGTGAAATAATGAGTCCAAGAGTCAATAGACACTTTTCTCCTATAGCAAAGGTCACAAGCCTCCGGTTGTCCACACTAGAGCTGTTTTGGCTTTCAGGGTACATGTGCCTCATTTGAAAAGCCTTTCTGTGATTGCTGCTGTGTCTCCATCTGTTAGAGCACAGCATATTTCAAAGGAGAGGGTGGCACATTCAAATGCTGAATTTGGACAAGAATCTTAAGAAACATTATTTTATGGGCAATTACAAAATGGCATTTGGTCATTTCAAGTAACATCTCAGTAGGGTTCCACTTCAGGGGCATTGTCATTTTAAACATCGGTTGAATGCAATTTATTTTTTCCAAAAATACCAGATGATTAATTAAATTATACATTTAAATGGCCATTAAAGTAGGCAAGAATATTATATTTTTCAGGCTAGCCAAATAGCACAAATAGATGAAAACATTAAATATCACTATGGTGCAGCATAAGGTGGACTAAATAGGGTCTCCTGCTTACAGTTTTGCCCTTGCCAACTCTCTGCCTCCATCACTACTATTGCCTTGCACATTATCTTAAATTTAACAATTTGAGATCTGTCTCTTTAGGTCTACGGGTACATCTCTAATACGACTGTTAAAATATAAATGTAGCAGATAGGTGATGTATTCTCTTATTATTTATCATCCAGGGAGTTATTAGAAAAAGCAGCAATCTCAGAGCTACTTAGAGTTTTGGGAACAGAGGTATATGATAAAAATGCTGAGTGTTTAGAGGAGAAACACTGTTTCTATATCAATTTTACTGGATAACTGATTGTAGTTGTTATAACCCTTCAGGAGCAGGCTCACAAAATGGTGAAGATTATGAGTTCTAGAACCAAACTCAAATCTAGATACCAAGGTTTGAATCGGGGCTACAGCCATTACAAGTTATGTGAGTTTGGTTGTTCTGTTTAACTGCTTTCTGCCATGGATTACTCTGTCGTAAATAAGGGTGATGATAATACATACCCTATAGGTAAGTATTATATTAATAAGAAAAAATCAGTTAGGACAAGCATGGCCTATTTTAAGTGATGAATAAGTGTTAGCAAATGTCAAAAATGTGAATGTTTCGTAATACACAGATAGCTTTCAAACTACATATTCCTTAGACTGAAATTGCCAACAGTGTAAAGCATTCTCTTAATATTAATAGTTTTATTGTAAACAAATTTCTAGTAATATTCTCTCTAATTAGTTTTACCTGTGTTTATAGATGAATTTGAAACTCCCATGTACATTTTTGAAAAATCAACGAATACTTACCAAGTTGTTTAAGTGTGTGCCATTTTAAGGTATAAGCATATGAATTCCACTGACTAGCATAAATGTGGGCATCTGTTCCTGTCTTCTCATAATATATTAAGCATTTTTAATTTAAATCTAGCAGTTTGCAATTAATTTAACTCTTATATTTTCATGAAGCTTTTATCTATTTAGAGTTAAAACATGTACTCTACACGTGGTTACATATTTTCAAATTCCAAAAACCACATTTTAAAACACCATAAAATGTACTGTTTATTTTTGGTTACTTAATTATATTGTTCTATATAACTGGAAAAAAATAGTAAGAATAAACTAATTTTTATCACTTCCCAATGATTAAATCAGAGGCTCTTTAATTTTTCCTCATTCTTCATTTAAATGTCATATAATAATTTTGTTTATTTTGAAAAAAATTCCAAAAGAGTGAAAATAATTTTAAGGCATTTCTAAAATTGGTGGTGGTATTTAGAATGCAATGTTACTAATTATTAATGTTTTCATTCAGTGTTGGTTTTCGAGGTTTACGGATACTTCTGTGTTTGTGATAAATGTTTTATTCAATAAAATATGATATGATAAATAATTGTAATGGATACTGTTTAACATTCATTTAATATTGGTTTACTAAAATTACTGTGTGCTGTACTTTATGTTTTCATACCAATTTTTAAGTTTTGTATTTATATGTGCATTCCATATTTACCCTGGTTACTTACGTTACTGAACAGAATGTGCATAAAGTTTAATCTCAGGAATAAAAAGTACTTATTATTATTACTATTTAGCCTCTCTATATCTAATATGCAAGCCTATGTTAACCACAGTATTAGCCTAAGTTTTAAAATGTAGTTAGAGAGCAGAGCCATGTGGGAGTAAAAACCAAATGACTTGAGGCCCAGTGACCCATTTAATCCTCCCAAGTAAGCTAGGCAGAAAACAAGCCACGCATTCATTTTACTATTTAGGATTTGGGAAAACTGAGGCACAGAGAAGTTTAGTGAATTTTAAATTTTAACCCAGTAGATAAAGTTCAATTGAACAGTAAGAGATAATTTTTTTAAAAAAAGTTTTAAGCAGAAAATATCCAACAAGAAAGCAAAACTTAATACTAGTACAAGAGTAGTTACAATATAAGTCCATGAGGTGTATTAGTTTCTTAGGACTGCCATAACAAATTGCCACAACCTTAGTAAAACAACAGAAATTTATTCCCACACAATTCTGGAAGCTCAAAGTCTGAAATCAAGGTGTCAACAGGGTGGTGCTCCCTCCAAAGGGTGTAGGAGAGAATTCCTTTCTTTCCTCTCCTAGATTCCTGTGGATTAGGGCATTCCTTGACTCATGGCCACATCACTCCAATTGGTACCTCCAGGCTTTCACTGGTTCTTTTATATGTGTCTTCTCGTCTATGTATCAGTCTCTGGAGTTCCTGAGGCTTTCTCTTATAAGGGTACATATGGTTGCATTTGGGGCCCGCCCGGATAATTCAATATAAGCTCCTCCTTTCAAGAGCTTTAGTTTAATCACATCTTTGTCCACACAAAGTAATATTCAATCTTTTGCCGTGTAAGGTACACAGGTTCTGGGGATTAGGAAAACAGCATGTCTTTTTGGGAGCCAGTCTTTACAATATGGAGTAATTGCATCAATCAGAAAAGACAAGAATTCAAGAATAATCCA